TCTGACTTCAAGAATAGAGATAGAATGATTTCAGAGTCGTCTGAGAGTTTAGATTGGCTTCTAAAGGTCAGTACTAAAAAGAGGGTTTCTTAAGAGTTAACTAAACAGAACTAGCTAAGTAGCTTACAGCTTTCTGGTATTACAGAGTGTTCATTCTAGTTGCTACCATCATAGTCTAGGCATCTATTGCTATTTTCATTAATCTATTTAAATGTAATCTTGTTTTATAAGTCTTTTACTCTTTAGGGGCATCATGGTAAATTTTTATGTTTTGTTTTGTTTTGTTCCTGGTAACTGGGATATGACTCAGGACCTTGTGTTTGCCAGGCAGGTGCGGCGCCACTGAGCTATATCCCCAGGCCCCCATGGTAAATTTTTTGAAAGGTCATTATGGGGGGACTGACACCCACATTTATTTTTTAAGAGTATTTCTGTTGATGAATTATTAATTTTAATTTTGAGTTTTATTATATTAAACTTACATTGTTTTATTATATTAAATGTGTACTTAACAGGAAAATAAAGTCAATAAAATAAAATATTAAATTTTAATATGTAATGAGTGTCTGATAAACACCAACATTTTCAACATCAACTGTTTACCTGCTTACAAGATCTAAAAAATAACAGCAGAAATAAAGTCCTATTTGAACTACAATGAAAATACAAACAAAACTCTGCCACAGAAATAATCTTTGCTTCAGTGACCACACCTAAGACAGTCTTCAGACACGACAACAGCATGTTCCGTACTCAAGTCTTGCTTACACTGACAGCACGTGTGCTTAGCTTTTCTTTCCTGTTTTGCAGGCCATACTTTTCACCTCTTTGTCTTCCTCTTTTTGTCAGGAGCTTCCTATAGTATTATGAATGTGCACTTAGCACAGGAAGATGAAGTATCGATAAAATATCAAATATATACTGAGTGTTTGGAATAAGCATTTTTTACATCAACTGTTTGGTTCCTTAGTGAATCTAAAAGATAATTCCCATGTGAACTACAATGAAAATACAAATAAAACTCTACTACAAAAATAATCTTTACTTCAATTATCAAACCTAAGGCAGTTTTCACACATGAGAACAGGATGTTGCATACACAAGTATCATACTGATAGCACCTATGTTTTGTTTTCCTATCTTCTTTGGTATGACGTGCTTGACATCTTGCTGGTCTTCCTGTTTTCTTAGGAGGTTCTTGTGCTGTTTCACCTGTCTGTTCACTGGTCTGCTCCAGAATTCTTTTGCAAAGCTCTTTGGGCAGATACATACTGTTCTTCCTCTGTTGTAATTGATCATTTATCAGTTCCAGTCCTGATCCCCTAAGGAAACTTCTTGTGATATTGTGCTTGTTATTTTCTTTGTAAACTATGAAATTCTTTATGTCTGACATGTTTAGATTCAAGTAAAACACCACCATTGGCCAATACTTTGTGTTTCAATTGATATCATAGTTGCTGCATAACTTGTCAACATCTACTCCACCTTTTCTTTTGTTGTAAAATGTAACCATTTCTGGCTTCATTTTTGTTGAGGATTCGCTGTCAGTCTTTTTTGTTTGTGTTTGCAATGGTCCCACTACATAGTCCAGGCTACCCTTGGATTCACTATGTAGCACAGGCTGACCTGGAACTCACAAGATCCTCTTGCCTCAGCCTGATGAGTGCTAGAATTACAGGCATGCACTACCATACCCAGCCTCACTATCAACCTTATCATGGTGTAACATTGATAGTATCAATACTACTTTGTTTTTCCTTACTATATAAGAGGCCAATGTTATATCTTTCTGAAATCCAAAGATTGTATTATATATTTCTCTATTGTGGAACATTAGAAAAATGTTTTATTTTGGAACATTTTTTTAGGAATCTTTGCTTTGTTCTTACAAATAGTTCCTGTGCTGGTCAACTGGTGTTTTTTTAAGCAAACGTTACAAAATGGATAACTAGTAAACCACTTTTCAAATGTAACATTTGGGTTACTTTTTGAAATAGGTGCAACAAGTTTGTTTACAGCATCGTACAGTTTATTACTGCATGAATAAAGACCTGGTGGCTGAGTTCCAGGATAAGTTTCTAAATTCAAGGTGTAATATGTTTTCTCTTCTACCATCTACCAAGGCATATATTTTTATACTGTATTTGGGAGGTTTCTTTGGTATATATTGCTGAAACCTTCAACAACCATGAAGTGATGCAAGTTGTTAAGTTGTATACTCGAACAGTATAAATTCTTTGATAGTTCAAAACAAAGATTTCAAAAAATGAACAAGTAGGGCCTGGGATTAAGCTCAGTGGTTCTGCCACCTGTCCTGCAAACGCAAGGAGTTCTATCCCCTGAGTTCTATCCCCAGTACCAAAAAAAGACCAAAAAAATGAGCAAATAGCAGCTAAATTGTTGGATTTTTTTCTTTCTTTCTTGAAGGGTCTTTTTGTTATCAGAACGTAAGCATTTTTGAAAGAAACCAAATCTCTTCTTGAGTAGTCTTTCTGTTCTAAAAATCTCAACGAGACATCTATCATGTCTATATATTCTTTAGATTCTGACAGAATGATAAAGTCCTGCTATGAAGGCTTTTAGTTCATATAGTGAAGTGTCACGATAAATACATTTTTGAGTATTACTATTGATGCATATAGAATGTTTTACTTGTATTATTAATGTATTTCAAAACATCTTGTAGCATATCATCCATTACAAACAATTTCCAAAATTGAGTCAAAGTGTTGGCAGTACGTCCAGTAGGTTTCACCCCGACAAGAACCCGAATACATTTTCTGACCTAGATCTAATTCAGGTATACATGACCATTTTGTAGCATTTTGACTAGTCAAATATTTATTTTCATTACTGTTTTCTTCCTCATCTGAATCAAAGTTCATTCTGTACTTCTCTGTCCTATGTATCTATCATGTCTGTCATATATTGCTAAATTCTTTGCTTACACAAGTCATCATTGTTAGCTGAATCACCTGATGGCTCACTTTCAACCTCCTCCCAAAGTTATGAAAACGAATTTTCATGCAGTATTGTACTGAATTGGGCTAATTTTATAGTTGTGGCTGAGTGGTTAAGGCAATGGACTTGAATTGGGCTAATTTTATAAGAAATCAAAAGAAAACATTTAATAAAATAAATTATAAATACACAAAAATGTAACATGGCATATAATGTGGATAAAATTCACCCTTTGACACACTTGACTACACCTTGCTGTTTGTCGTACCAAGTGGGTGAACACAGAGGTTGCTTCCTGTATTCCCCCAGAGTAGCTGAGATGCACAGCTGAATACAGTTATACTAAAGTACATATTTTCATTAGAAAAGTATGATTGGGTATATTTTACCCACCGTGATGCCCGTTGGGTCTTAAATACAAATAACATCTTTGCCTCAGATTTCACTTTTCTAAGCCAATAATAATGCACTTTATAGTTTGCATATTGCAACACATTACTGCTGTCAAGAAAATGAAGACGTGGCCACTGTCCCCTACCTCAGCTTTGCAGTGACAGTGTCTTTCCACTTTGTTGAACATGGTTTTCTTTGGATGATGGTATTACAGTAGTAGAGGAATCATTTAAGGAATAAGGATACACATCATTTGACTGAGTAGTTGTTGAGCCAAATCAAACACTCCCATCCCCTGTTGACAGCATTCCAAACACCTAAGTTATGTTGTATGTTATCGATAAAAATACCTGTATGTAATTTGTATTACCAGAATAATAGTATATAAAGATTTAAAAGTTAGATTTCTTGAGCTCTAGCATTTGCTTAGTAGAACAACTTGAAATTAAAAGAACTTTAGTATTGAAGATATCCAAATACTCTAGAGTATTGAAAGATCTATCCTAAGAATCCCCCAGAAAGAATGGGAAAATGAGCTGGGGATTTAGCTCAGTGGCACTGTACCTGTCTCGCAAGTGCAAGGTCCTGAGTTTGATTCTCGGTACCAAAAAAAAAAAGAATGGGAAACTAAGAAGAGGACTGTTGTTTTACACATTCAGAGATGTCCCTGTGCTCCCTCTTCTGCTCCCTTCCACTTTACTTATTAGAAATTATGGTTTTGCCCTATTTGCAAACCAATAATGATATTTAAAAGTAGTATTTTTTATTTATACCAGACATAGTAAAAATTTGTAGATAAAATTAGACTGAAAAAGGAACCAGAGCTGCCAACAAGTGTCATAACATCCTCTTTGAATTTCAGAAAACTTTCTTGTCTTCCTGTACTTCAGAGATTCTTAACTAGTAGTGCACAATAGAATCATCTATAAAGATTCTTGTCATACCCTAGACAAGAAAAACTAAATCAGAGTCTCTTCATTATTGACTCCAGATAATACTTCTTTGGATTTTCACTCCTTGGTTAAGAATCCATTTTCTAACACTAGATTGAACTCTGAACATTCTTACATAATTTTGTTTTTTGTGAATAATTTTTGTACTGAATATTTCTGAAAACTATTTTAACACTTAAAAAATTGAGTCAGATAGAAAATGGAAAAATAACAAGAGAAAAATAGACTGAAAGCTGATGGAGTTACAGAGCCTCATTGTATCAGTAATTTGTTATCGTTACAAATATAGGTTCACTCAAAAAAAAATCACTTTGGATCTATCTTAAGGGCCAAATTAACAGACTACATGTAAACTGAAATTAAATTGGGCATTGGTTATTCCTAGTTTGTCCCTCGTTTTGGCATGAAAAATGATCTTTTCTGATCTCTCTCCAATCTTACTTTCCAAAGACAATTTTTTCTTCAGGCCAGTTTTGAGTTTCTAAATTTTTTATTTAGTTTTTCTGTTCACTTTTGTGTCTCTATTACTCAAGTTGCTACTTGCAGCAGGATTTAATTGGTCCCATTTTGATAGGCATTTAGATGGAATGTGGCTTTTAAATATTTCTTTTGCTCCAAACTTATTTTGCTTCCTACTAATACTCTGAAGAAAATTAATTTTAATACCTTTAACTTGAATATATTTTCTTACAGCAGAAAAAGAAAACTAAAAACTTCAATCCACCAACACGTAGAAATTGGGAAAGTAATTACTTTGGGATGCCCCTCCAGGATCTGGTTACAGCTGAGAAGCCCATACCACTGTTTGTTGAAAAGTGTGTGGAATTTATTGAAGATACAGGTAGGATAGATGTATCCATATAAGAAATTTGATCTCAAGTTTCATTTTTGTGATAACAATAGCTCATCAAGTGTTTGTGACTTGTTAAAGGTAAATTTTGAAAGAGGTTTTATTGTTAAAGTGTTTGTAGTTCATTATTAAGGTTGATTTTCTTGCATATTAAGGTAATCATCTGATATTTGAAAGTTTTGTTATTGACAATAATATTATTTGCTGGGCCAGGGATTTAGCTCAGTGGACCTTGCAAGCACAAGGTCCCGAGTTTGATCCCCAGTACCAAAAAAAAGAAAGCAAATAATGTTTTTTGCTGAACTTCTGTTTAACCTAATGAATGGCTAAGTTGAATGCCAAAATGTTTAACTTTCTCTATTCTAATTGAGAATATTATTTGATTATTAAATTATGCCATCAAGAGATCATTGTTATTTTAATCAGAAATTTGGAAGTTTTCAGTATTTTAAAATTCAGTACTATTTGTGTTACCCATTTTATACATGGATTTTTTTTTCTTTTAAAACTCCTAGCCATAATTATAGATATATTTCAGAAAGCTTGCTGTCAGTTTTATTTTGCCTAATGTAAACTATTGAAACTAAAAAAAGAGAATTGGATCTGTCAGAGGTCCAATAGATGCAGGTTATTGTGTTTGAATATATTTTAAATGAACATAGGTTAACCATAAAATTTAGTGATTGATGGACTATAAATTTTAATGGTTTGAAAACATGAGCTATGTCAGTTTTAGCCTTGTTCTTAATGTTCTTTTTTAAAATATGAGTACTGCTTAAAAAAACTAGCACTCCATGCTCTAAATAATTGTGCTAATTTTTGCATATTACATCTTACTCTTAAGTTTGATTGATTGGCTAGGCCCTGTACATATTGGGTCATCTATTTGATAAAGAATGATGATTTAATAAGTGGGTAGAATGTGAGGAAATACAGTTATTCACTAGTATTGTAATTGTAGCATGTCTTTTTCTTTCAGTTAATAAGTATTAATTTACAGAACATACATATACATAGAATATGCCACTTAGCCTTCAAATACTTGAGAAGTGTGTTTTAGGCAAATTTCTTACCTATATTTCTATTCTTTTTTTTTTTTTTTCTTGTACCAGGGATAGAACCCAGAGCCTTGTGCTTGCAAGGCAGGTACGTTGCCACTGAGCTAAATCCCCAACCCTTTTGTTCATTTTTAATATAGAAGAAATACAACGGTCTTTATAATAGTATTAACTTTTTGCTTTGGATTTAAAGGATTATTATTTTTTCTAGTAATATAATTAAGCCTTATGGATATGACTAAGCAATTGGAAAATATTTTGATTTGTAATTGGAAATAATAATGATGGATTGGCATTTATTATTACAATTTTAAATTCCCATCATTTGTTACTATACTGAGAAATTATCATTTCTGGAATATTTTCATAGTTGTTGAGTGATTTGATTTGAGGAAAATTAATGAATTTCAAGTGTAACATACAGTGCAGTTCTAATTTGTAGCACAACCCAAGTTAATTCAGCATAACTAATTCAGTTAGTTTATATGTTTAAATGCTTTGGCAGAAATAGACTAAGGAACAATAAGACTACAAAAGTAGACTAAAAGATTAATAAAGCTAGTTCTTTTATAGTTAGGAGTATGGTTTTTTTTAATACTGATTTTGAAACTGGTAAAGTTTTAGCAGGAATTTCCAGTTGCTTTAGAGTACAGTTTACAACTCTCAGCATAGCCTGTGTAGCACATTGATTTTACATTTAAGGTTCCTCTTGCAGTAATAGAAATATATTCCAGATACTTATTATTTTTAAATGATATTTTGCTTTTTAGAGATGCAGTAATATAAACTACCAGTATCATTGTTATAATCAATTTTCTTTAACAACCTTGAAGAAAATATGAGTCTTAAAAATCAGCTTTAGGGCCAGGGGTTTAGCTCAGTGGCACTGCACCTGCCTCACAAGCGCAAGGCCCTGAGTTCAATCCCCAGTACCAAAAAAAAAAAATTAGCTTTATTTATATAATATATAATTATAAAATTTACATGCAATAAATTTCAACAATTGTAATTGTACCATATGAATTTTGATAACTTTATGGTCATGTAACCCACCACTACATTCAAGATACAGACTGTTTTCATCACCACCAAAGCATGTAATCTTTCATTATCATCTGGCACCTGGGGTCTTTTGGGTGGGTGGGTGTGTGTGTGGGTGTGTGTGTGTGCCTTTTGTTTAAATTTCAGCTTAATTTGCTGTTTTGAAGAACTTCTACTTTTTTCATCACTTTAATATATTTTCACTAAACATCACATTTGTTTCTTCTGTCTTGTCTTATCCTGGATATGATCTATTTTTCTGTTCACTTCCTTGATACCTCCTCAACTTCTACCACTTTGTTCACTTGATAAAACCTCAACTCTGGTTAAACTCTGCTAACTGTTCTGTTTGAGCCAGAACAACAGATCGTGGCCATAGTAAAGCATAAACCATGCATTTCACTTTAAATATATGACCACAGGTCTAAACCACCCTGTATTTCCCGTTAACCTAGTCAGTTGTTCTCTTGTTCTCGTAAAGGGTTTTTAAAAAAATAACCATTTTTATTTCTCTTCCCACAATTTTTGAAAAATTTTGAAACTTGAGAACTGTTTCAAGAATAATTTGAGAATTTGTGTATCCTTCATCTAGATCATTGGTTAATTTTTTTGTCATGTTTCTCTCCTCTAATCTTTTTTCTTTTGAGATTAAGTTACAGATATCATGAATTTCACTCCTACATTGTTCAGCATATATTCTTTAAGAACAGGGGCATTCTCTCCATATACCCACAATGTAAATACCATGTTCAAAAAATTTTCAGTCTTATTTAATCTAGACCAATTCTAGCCTTTGTGTGTGTTTTCATGTCACTTAGATATTTTGAAGATTCTTAACAGATTTTTGCAGAATATTTCTAAATTTTATTTGGCTAATTCGTGATCAGATTTAAGCTTTGACTTGGATTCTACGTATGACTAAAGCATCTTTCTGAACATAACACATTAGGAAGCATATAAGGTCCATTATTAAAAAGGACTTCTCCAGTTTATTTCAGAATTCTAGGCTTTCAGTAACCTTAACCCAGTCATTGTCAAGTAAGTGCACAAAGTTGGGATCATTGACATCTGAATTTAACAATTGAAGTATAAGCTGTTTTATCTAGCCTTGCTTTATCACAGAAGAATTAGCAGTTAGCCCTTTAAGCATTTCTTCAAACTATTTTAGTATGCTTATGTTTAATACAAATTCATTCAGGTTTTCTGGCACATAATCCTTAAAAATCATTTTTTAAAATAAATAAAAACTTTTTAGTAACTAAATGTTTTATCTTTGTGAAATTCCACACTGATAGCAACCCCCTCATATGCCACTCCACTACCACGAGTACTGGGGATTGAATCCAGGGCCTTCACACTGAGTATGTCCCTTGTACTTTTTCTTATTTTGAGACTTGCTAAATTGCCAGGCTGGGCTTGAATTTACCATCCTCCTACCTCAACCTCCCAGAGTACTGGGATTACAGGCATGCACAACCACACCTAGTTAATTGATGTTTTTATTTTCCCAAATAGAAATATCATTCCTGTTTTTTCCTATAAATAATAAAAGATAATTGCAAATAAATTGGATTTTACTATCAGTTGCATTGAATTTGTACATCAGTTTGAGAGTATTACCACTCGATGGTATTTAATCTTCCAATCCACAAGATACAGGATATTTTATATTTATTTAGGTCTTCTTTAGTTGTTTTTAAGCACTATTTTATAGTTTTCAGTGTAGAAGTTTTACTTCTTCTTGGACGAATGTATTTATAGATGTTTTACTCTTTTGGATACCTATAATGTTACAGAATCCAAGAGACAGGAGAGACCAATAGGAAACAGGATTTATTTAGGTTTCTAGGTGAACACCACCTTAATAGACTAATGTCCAAAGGAATAGTGAAGAACAAAGGAGAAACTCTAGTTTTTATACATTTGGTCAAAGAGGTTGGTCTTCTTGGTAATGCAGTAAGCAAGTTTATATGAAACAGTACAAGGGCAGGCAGTTTTGTAATTTAGCCTTGTGAGAACAAGATAACATAAATTTTGTTCACAGGACATAGTTGCCAATTTTATCTGTACCAGAACAAGGAGTTATAGCTACAAGGGAATGAAAGAGGGCAGGAATGGGAAGGGGGTTGCTCAAGGCTGGGAAAATTTTTTTTTCCTTTCAGTACTGCTTCAGTAACTGGAATTTTCTTGATTCTGTCTTCACATTGCTCACTGCTAATGTATAAAAGTACAACTGATTGATGTACGTTGATCTTGTATTCTGCAATTTTGCTGAATTCTTATGTTAACTCTACTAGTATTTTGGGGGATTCTTTTAAATTTTCTGTATGTAAGTTCTGACATCTACAAATGAGAATAATTTTAATTTATTCCTTTCCAGTATAAATGCCTTTCACTTATTTTTCTTGCTGTATTATTTTAGCTAGAATTCCAGTATAATATTTCATGGAAATAATAAAAGAGGATATATCTATCTTGTTCATGATCTTAGGGAGCGTCTTCATTCTTTCACTATATTTTACTGCTGCTAACATGAATATGATGTTAGCTGTAGATTTTTCATAAATGCCTGTTAGCATTTCTGATTTAGTGAGTCTTCCCCTTTTGTCAATCTCAGTGATCTTTTCATAGAACCAACTTTTTTATTTCATTCCATTTTTTTTTTTAACTTTCTATTTTATGTCTGTTCTGATTTTTCTTTTCTTTATTTTACTAGCTTTGTGTTTAGCCTACTCTTTTTCTAATTTCTAACTCCCTTAAAGTTAACTTTACCTTAAAGTTAAGTTTTTGGTTGTTTTCTGGTACTGGGCATCAAACCCAGAGCCAGGCACATGCTAAGCATGGACCTTACCACTGAGCTACTTTCTAAGGATCTTTTTTTATGTAAGTGTTTATAGCTACAAATTTCCCTCTGGTCACTGCTCTTAATGCTTCCCATAAGATTTCCTTCTTATGCATCTCAGAGTATTTCCTAATTTCATTTATAATTTCTTCCTTGATACATTGGCTGTTGAAAAGTGTGTTAATTTTCACATACTTGTGATTTTTTTTGTTATTGGTTTATAGTTCTATTCCTTTGTGATCAAAGAACATATTCAAACCTTCTTTATTTAGATGTGTCTTATTGACTTAATATGTGATTTGTCCTAGATAAAGTTTGCTGTGCATTTGAAGAGAATGTAAATTGTGGTAGTGTTGGAATATAAAAGTACATGATCAGTATCGATATAAATAGATGAGAAAGGAAAATTCATTTACAATAAAATGCTAGCGCCATAATTCTTTAAGCATTTCTTTACTCTCTGGCATGAAACATAGCAGACTTGACTATAGTTTTTTTCCTTATCCAGCCTTGGAATTAGTCTTTTCTTCAGAGAACTCTGATTTGTTTTGGTGGAGAACAGTATTTAAAAACCTGAATTGCAGCTATTCTATGCCCTCTCAGCAAAAAAAACTAGGAAATAAATATATATGTGTCCATTTGCATACATATATACACTTGTACCTGTACTTATTTGATATCTGTATTAAAAACCGAGTATATACTAATACTTCCAATTTTCATGCACCACAAAGTACATTTTAGTTCCTCGTCTTCCTTTTTGTATTAATAATTCTCTTCCACAATGAGAAATCTTACACCTATTGTCCTCAATATATTTATTTGCTGAAGTCTAGAATACACAAAAAGTATACGTACCAGCTTGGTGTGCTAGCTGCACTCCTGTTAACCCCAGCACTCTGGGAGGGTGAAGCAAGATCGCAAATTCAAGCCCAACTTGAGAGACTTAATGAGACCTTGTCTCCAAACAACAACAAAACATCCATATGTACCATATATCTTACATCATACTGGACTGGAAATATACTAACTAGAGTTAAGTATTTGCTTACAGTTTTTTTATGAAGTGTACCAAACTTACATGTACAATTAAATATATTTTGACAAATGCATACACCTGTTTAACCTGTATATTTATCAAAGTATAAAACACTTTTATCATACTTTATATCCCTTCCTGATCTTCCAGCCACCATAAACAACTTTCCTTATTCTTTTCCCCTATTACAAATAAATAATGCCTGCTTTAGAAACTCAAATAAATAGATTCATAACAAATGTATTCTTTTATGCATATTTATCTGAGTATCTGTGAGATTAATTCATGTTGGAAGTGCCAGTAATACTAAATAATTTTTATAGATACAACTTTGACACTTCTGTCTGTAAATTTTTGCTCTTGTTATTTTGATCATCTTCATGGATTTATGAAAATGGAATTTTTCGCCATTATGATACACTTTGTTTCCTTTTCATGGAATATTTGTAAAGAATGAAGTACTTTTAAGCAGAGAGAATTCGAGAAGAATGTTGTTCCATGGGTAGATGAGAAATAATAAAGTTGATAGAACCCACTTTTTTGTTTTTATTGTTTTGTTTTCCTTTTTTTTCTAAACTGTGATCAGAGGAATACATGCCTTAGGAAAACAAATCCTTTGAAAAATAGTTCCAGATTCTCTATAGAAAATAAACAAATAGTACTTTTCGCCAGTGACACATGTTAGATCTTCTATTCCCCCACAAGTCCTTGAAGGCTCTTCATTTTTCTTAGTCAAATTTCTTTCTGTTCAGATTGGTTGATATGTCCTGATTTATCTTCATTTAACTTATTCTTTCCAATTTTTAATCTCTTTACTGCTGTTGATACTATTCAGTGAGGTTTTTTTTGTTTCTGTTTGGTATGCTGGGTGATTTTTGTGTTGTTATTGTAGCCTGGTCATTTTGAATATTAAAAGACTCTGGCTCTTAACTTAAGTCTTCTGTTTCAGCAGGCCTCCTCTGACATACCAGCAGGGGATGAGGTGGGATTGGAAGTCCACACTCCTCAGTTTGGCATCCACTGATAATACCATGGTGGGGAAGTTAGGGCACCTCTTACTTTAGGCTTTCCATTCATCTCCAGGGTTGGCAGGGGTGAAAGTTCAGGTTTCATAGTTGACTTCCACTGGCTGACAACATGAGAGGGATTCCATACCAATTTGACTTGAGTAAGGCTATTAAAGTAAAAAAAAAATTGTGTCTTGCTAGGCCATACCTTTCCCAATCCTTTCACTAGAGAGGGCAGGCTCTTCTTGTTGATGGTTTTTTGGTTTGTTTCATTATTGTTGTTTAGTTTTTGCCTGTGCTTCTGGGCTGCAAGGCCTCTCCATTGCCCAGTCTAGGACATAAAAGGTTGGGGACAAGGAGGGGTATTTCTATAATAATATTCTTCAAGTTTCAGTTGTTAGCCAGTCTACCTTCTGTCCACTGTTGAGTCATCTTATACATATGTAAATATATATGAATATAAAGATGTATAAGTATATATGTAATATATATTGTTTGGGATTTTGAGCTGTACTTAGTGGGAAGAATAGGAAAAAATGTTTACTCATTTTGTTTGGAACTGGATTTCCTAAATAGTTTCAGATAGAGAATAGTCCATTAAGAACTTACTTAAAAATAAAATGCCCAAAACTACTTTATTCTTTTTTGTTCTATTTTATTTTGTTTTTGGTGGTACTGAGGATTGAACCCAGGGTTTTGTGCATGCTAGGCAAGTAGTCCGTCACTGAGTTACATCGCCAGCCCTAAAAATATTTTACTCTTAAAAATATTTTATCATATTTTTAAGTCACTAAGTATGTAAGACTAAGTACATTCTTTGTTTTTTATATTGATCGAAACAAGTATATTTCTTTATTCTCTTAGGATTATGTACAGAAGGACTCTACCGTGTTAGTGGAAACAAAACTGACCAAGATAACATTCAAAAGCAATTTGATCAAGGTAAGAAGATCATCATATAAAATAAAATGGTGGTTTTATTGTTTTCCTCATTAGAATTTTATGTTGAAAAGATTGGTTTTTATTTGAAAACTTCTAAGGATATGAATATTGAGAAGAAAGTTTTAGAAGTGGAACTAGAAGTATAAGAAATAGAGTAGATGCACAGTCAAGGGGCAGGAGAGCTGGAAAAAGTATGTGGTTTTTACACTAGTAAGAGAATTATTGATGGCTTTAGAGCCTTTTGTTGCCAAGAGGCTGGGCACTAGAGAATTATAAGAGGAAGTTGGAAATATGAAAATATATTTAGAATAGAAGAAAAATTGAAAATGATTCCAGTTGGGTCAAGAAAATACAGTATTGTATATATATTTTTAAATGTAAATGTGAAGGCAGAAAAAGAGGCCTAAGAAAGGAAATATTGGAAAAGAAGGCACTCAGTACTGAAACAAACTCTGTCATAGGCCCAGAAGGAATGGAGTGAAGTAGAATTTATAGTTTTTTTTAAAGAAATAATGAGAATCTATTTTATGACCTATGTACTTTGTTTCTTCTCATATTTTATATTCCTAATCCGGTAAGCTATCTGACAAATAAGATTGTCACAATTTATATAAATCCATCACCAGAATTAGAAAAAACAGTAAGGTGACTTAAGATGGATAACCATCTGTGTATGTCAAAAATAATACTGTGTGAAAGTTTGGGGTTTTGGCATGATATTGAATAACCATTAGAAGTAAAAAGAAAGCTGGATTCCCTACTTGTAAGTAAATTCTATGTGTGATCAAAGATTTATAAATTTGTAAATAGTGAAAACCAAAAGTACTGGGAAAATGAGTGAATATTTTTATAGTCTTGGAGTAGGGAAGGGCCCAAACTTGATATACAATCTAGAAATCGTGAGCCAAAGTAATAGCCTGGACTAATTACAAATGTAAAAATTCTTTATGAGAATATAGAAAAGCATAAAATCAGGACACAAACCATAATTTGGGGGACCGTAATAATCATGCTACATTAAGCAGTTTACATCAGAAAGAAAACTGGTAAATATTTGAAAGTATGCTCAACCCCTATCAGTAATTCTTTTAAAGAATTACTTTTAAAAATTACTTTAAAAAATTATTTAAAAGATTGTTTTTATTAAGAGTTTAAACAACTGTTGAGGTTGTAGGCAAACATGTATCTTGTACACTGTTGGTTTTGAGTGTGTTTTGAAAGACAGTTTGTAAGTATCTAGTATTAAAATTCATCAACCTTTCTTTGCTAGATAACTCTGCTTAAAGGAATTTGTTACAGAAGTCTTTGCGTAAGCATCCCAGGGACATTTGTTGCCATGCTTGTAATTCTTTTTTAAAAAGATGAAGGAAGAACTACTTATATGTTTTATTAAAAGTATATAGAATATTCGATCCTCGGTACCAAAAACAAAAAAGTATATACAATACTTGGTAGCCATATAAAATAATGACTTAGGTTTTTTTAAATGCCGAAATACAAATTGATTATGTGTGAAAAATGTGCTGTGTTGCCAAAGATTATTGTATAGTCTAATAATCCCATTTCAAAAATTACTAAGGGAAACTTTAGAATTTATAATAATTAAATTGATAGAATTTCACTTCTGGTAATAAAGGTAGGGTAATAGTTAATACCAGGGTCCTTAGATTTGACTTTGTGTATGATCTAGGCAAGTTAATCTTTCTAAATCTCAATTTCTTCATCTGTATAGTGGAGAGACAATAGTAAATATGAGAATAACAAGATAATGCATGTAGAGAATTTTTTTCTCCCAGGCACCATATTAAAATGTTTGTTGGGTAGCCACTGTTACAAGGTATGTAGCCTAAGGAACTACTAAGCTGTAATAGATAAAAGTGTTTATCAGAGCATCTTCATAATATTTTAAAATAGAATAAATCTAACTGCTCACTAATAAGTATTATATAAGTTGATCAGTCTGGGGATATTTTATACCCTTAAAAATTGTTTATGTAAAGCAAAATGTTAGCAGTTGGTGATTCTAGGTTGATATATATATATATAAAATTCCTTAGAGCTGTTCTTGCAACTTTTTTACAGGTTTGAAATTATAATTAAATGTTGTCCATTAAAAAAAGTCTTTTTTTTTTTTTTTTTTTGAGACAGCATCTCATTATGTAGGTCAAGCTGGCCTTGAACTCACTATGTAGTCCAGGCTGGCATCACACTCATGGCAATCCTCCTGCCTTAGCCTCCCAAGTGCTGGGATTACAGGCCTACACCGACACACTCAACAAAACCCAAATGTCTTTAAAAGTTGCTTGTGGAAAACTTTAGATAATGTCTTAAAGATGAACTCCAGTATAAAATGGATAATGATTGGGTGAATTTTTTTTTTTTAATGAGCAGAGAAGGGCTGAAAAGAAACATACTGTGATGCATAAGCAATAATGGTGTATAGGTGATGGGGATTTTTTTTTTCTAATCTATACCATTACATCGAAGTGTCTTGTTAATAGCAAATTAGCCATATGATACACTCTTAGTGTGTTCCATTCTTGCTTTTTTTTGGTACCAGGGATTGAACTCAGGACCTTTGCAAGGCAGACGCAGTGCCACTGAACTAAATCCCTGGCCCTTCCATTCTTACTTTTAAGTTGGAATTTTGCTCTTGTAACAATTAACATTTAAATTGTTAAATATAAAGTTAAATTCAAATTAGAATTTATCTTCATGATTCCCATCTTTTGTCTGTTTAGTTCCTTATGGCCTCTTTTAAACAGCTTATGTAAACGAAAGAAAAGAATAGTTATTAGTGATGTTCTTCAATATACTACAGCTAACAGCATTTTTTATTTTAATGGAAAATACTTATTGCTTAGTGTTTTTTTCTCTTATCTTTGGTTTGTTGGCCTCTGAATAAAAGTGGCTAAGGGCCGGGGATTTAGCTCAGTGGTTCCAATGCCTGCCTCAAAAGTGCAAGGTCCTGAGTTTGATCCCCAGTTCCAAAAATAAATAAATAGATAGATAAATGTGGCTAGTGAGAAGTTTTTTGTTGTTTTTTTTTTGGTACAGGGGATCAAACTCGGGTCCTTGCAGTTGTGCAGCAGGCGGCGAAACCACTGAGCTAAATCCCCAGCCCGAGAAGTTTTAAAAATCTTTGATTTAGAGGTACCAGTTAGCTCACTTGTCCTATAATTAAATTTCTATTATAAAAATCAAAATTTTTTGTCTTATAGATCATAATATCAATCTGGTATCAATGGAAGTAACAGTAAATGCTGTAGCTGGAGCTCTTAAAGCTTTCTTTGCAGATCTGCCAGATCCTTTAATCCCATATTCTCTTCATCCAGAGCTATTGGAAGCAGCAAGTAAGTCTTAATATTAACCTCTTGATTTTTGGAGAAAGATACTGGTTTCAGTTTTTGGATATTGATTGCTATCTGTTAATGAGTCATGCATTGGAATATGTAGCAGTAAAAATTAAGCATACTAGAACTGTGTTTCTTCATAGTATTTTTCTCTCAATTGAAGTAAAGTCTGAATGCCTGGGCATGGCATTCAGGAATATTCAGCTTTAGGCGGCCAGGTGATGTAGATGCTCTCAGAAGTTCATTCTGTGTTCTACAGATTTTATGGTTTGTTTTTGTTGTTGTTGTTTTTGTTTTGTATTTTTGTTTCAAGGTCAAAGACATTGTAAAAAATTAAATCTTTCAAATGAATTTATGTATACTTCAGTAAAATATTAATCTATATGTTGTTTGCACATATCTATTTAAATTTGTTTTTAAGTTACAGTTACTTGGCTTTCCTGTTTTGAGTAATTTTGGAAACAGGCATTAACATGGAGTACTTAATTTCTGCTTTGACATTAATCACTCACATGTTTCCAGTAAACAACAACTTTTGCTTTGTCTTCAAAAATGAGGCTATAGGTCGGTTTGGCAGAAAATTTTTAATACATTAATGGCTAAAATTGAGGTCATTTCTAAATATTTTTTTTTAATACATACTTCTCCAAGTCTTCAGGTTCTTTTAACTGAGACTACTTCATTATAGTTTTGATTATATTAAAGTTACCAGTTTTGGGTTTTTTTATTTTAATTGAAAACTACTTCAGTATATTATCACAAGATATACTTTCCTTAATCATACTCCCATATAAATTGAGTGTAAATTAAATTAGTTCAGTCGATAGTTTAGGTTTTCTTATTTCTTGACCATAAACTGTAGCCTCAGAACTTTTCTATTAGGACATTTTTGAGAAATGATTTAAAAATGTGACACATGAGAATTTGTTAGTAATTGATTGTATTACTATAATGATTTGGTATGCACATTGGCCTCAAATGAATTGAGGAAGAGCAAGGAAACAATCTCTTATATCCTGTTTATTGCAGGACCACATATCAGCTACTTTGTCTTACAGTTTACATAAATTCAGAGAGTAATTATGTTAAATAAACTTCCTGTAAAAAATTTTTGATTGCCAAAGTGGGTTATCAGTAAGTGTAGAGTAGGCAACTGTGACCATGTTCAGCCTAATTTTTGGAAGACCTTAGTTGAAAATGATTTTAAAAAAAAGAAATTTCATGACACATTAAAATGATAAATTCAAATTTCAAAAGTTTTTTTGGAAGACAACCAATGCTCATTTGTTACATATTTTCTTTTACTGTTTCTGTGCTCCAACTGCTGGAGGGTTGGGTAGTTGTGCCCACAAAGCCTGAAATATTTACTGTCTGTAGACTTAATATTAAGAACCTAACAGATTTACTATATAAGTAATTAGTTAATTCTAGACTAATATCTAGTTATGTAAATTGCTAATATACCATTTCCCATTTTATTAGTGCTAAGTCATTTTGTTTTTCATTGAATAGCTTCACTTATAAAAAGTAATAGTAAATAGATAATGTGATTTCTTATTTCAGATCATTTTAGCAGGTTCTTTTAGCATTTTCTTGTTCTTCAGGTATAATCTTGTTTTATATAGGAAGTGTTAGGAAGCTTTTATCAAATATTTTTAAATGTGTGAGATTCACATAAATTTTTTTACTACTTTTACAGAAATCATGGATAAAACAGAACGTCTTCATGCCTTGAAAGAAATTGTCAAGAAATTTCATCCTGTAAACTATGATGTATTCAGATATGTGATAACACATCTAAGCAGGTATTTTTGTTTTGTTTTTGGAAATTAAATCTATGCATTTCAAACATGTAGACGTTAAAATTGGGTAATTATAAGATATTTAAAAGGAATACAAACTAAACATGGTTCAGTTTTGGTTCTCTATGATTGTCTATCTTATATTTTCTAATTTATATCTAAAGCTATGTGACCGTTTTTGTACATGTGATAATAATATAAATAGTAAGTATGGTCAGTATGTTTTCTTTTTGTCTCTTTACTATTTTTATGTAGAACCTTAGGATATTATTTATAACATGAGAATTATGTATTTACTCAAACTTCATGGATGGGAATATAGCTCAGTGGTAGAGCCTAAAATCTGTGAGGCCCTAGTTCAATCCATAGCACTGCAAAAAATATATAGTGAGTTGCAGTTTGTTTTTTTAACTTAATATCAAAGCTCAAATGAAGTACGTTATAGTCTGTACTATTGACTAATGTTTAAAGCTTTATGGTTGATGTGGATGTGTAGTGTAAAACTGTATTAACATTCTTTATAACTCTTCCCCCAAGTCTTTAAGACAACACCAGCATATATAGTATTTATATTTAGTAGAATGTTCTCTTCTAAAAAGCACAGTACAATAATTAGTGGTTGATGAAGTGATAATAATTACATGGATACTGTAGGAAAACTAATATAAAGTGTAAGGAAATTTCGTGAACATATTATTGTCTGCCTGAAATAAGAATTGGAGTTCATTAAAAGCATTAGGAAAAAGAGAACAAAGAGCAGAGCGTATTCAAAGAATCATAGTGTGGCCTACTATCAAAATTATCTTAAATACTTACTGTGTACTGGAACTGTGCTTTTGGCTCTGTTGATACAACCATTAACAACATGGCCAAAAGCATATTTGATGCATTAAGGATCAGCAGAGGCCTGTGTGACGGGAGCAGAGTTGAAAGAGGTGAAGTCAGAAAAGGAAAGGTACAATGCCAGGTTATTGTAGGATAGTACTTTTCAGAGTATAATCCAGTGACTAGCTTCAGTCCTCAAAGTGTCTTACTGATTTCAGCTCACCTTTTTTTTGGTTGTTTTATTTTGTTTTGGTTTTTTTGTTTTGTTCAGAGATGGGGCCTCACTTCTTTAGGAAAAAGGCATTGTATGATTTAAGCTCTGTGTTACTCTGTATGGTGTGGAAGATCCACCATCAAGTGGAACAGGAATAACATAATCAGTTTAAGTTTTTAAAGGAGTACTCAACTAGACTAAATGGATAAAGTTCTCTTACTACCAGATACACTTAAAGTGATACAACAGTAAACAAAGCAGCCATCCATATACTTCCTGGTGCTTACTAGTAAAGGAGAAAAACAGGTGACTATATAATACATGTTTGAAAAGTTTTTGCCAAGGCTACAAAAATTAATCTATGGAGTTATTATTTGTTTATATTCTTTTTCATTATCCCTGTCTAGTATCAAATGAGTTTTTCTTATTTCTGTTATCTAGTGCTTTTAGTTAATCCATTGTCATTTAGAGATCTCTAGTGTAGTTGCAAAAGTATAGTCCTCAACAACATCTTGTATCACCTGCGAACCTGTAGGAGTGGAGTAGGGTAGCCAGACCCTACTCAGAACAGGTTAAAGACCTCAAGTACTCCCCAGCGGCCCTCAGGAGGTATGCTATAATTATCAACCATAGTTTAACAGAATTTCCCTTCCTTCCTACCACTCTTCCCATGTCTATCACCCTTGACTTAATTCATACCATTACCTCTTCTGGGAAGTCTTACCTTGCCACTCTAATTTCTAATTGAGTTGGTATTTCTCCTTTGTCCTTTTTGACTCCTTAATTAGATCTTTGATGCCTGTACTCTTAATGTTTTCAATTTTATAGGTGTTTCTAGGACCTAGCACCTGCCCCTGCATGGAAACACCAAAGTGGACCTACTAGCTACTATATTTTAACAAAAGGTTGATTTTTATTCCAAGTATTCTAATTAGGTCTCTTGAAATAAATAATGATGTACCACCAAACATACTTTTTAGGCCACATATTTTACCTCAGATGAGCAATTTCTGTGTTTTGAAATTTCTTTAATCTGTAAATTAAAGATTTTCCTGCTTTCCTATGTAGTTCCTGTGTCACTCACAGAAAGTGAAATAAGGAGGTTGGGTAAACTCCCAAAGATCTCTCCCAACTTAATAACTTTGAATGATGTTCCAAGATTTGCTGCTTTTCTTTTATTGGATTAGATGCAAATAATGTTATATGTGACCATTGGTAAATTATTGTTAAATCATAAGAATTTTTTTTTTTGGTACTGGAGATCGAACTCAGGACCTTGCACTTGTGAGGCAGGCGAGGTGCCACTGAACTAACCCCGGCCCTAAATCATAAGAATTTTAAGGTGGACTTTGTTATGAACTGAGTTATGTCTTTCAAATAGAATTTGTAACAATGTACAAGATAGTGGTTTAAAAGATTGTATGTGGAACATTAGAAACTTGGTTTTTTTAAAAGTTAAAACCATTACTGGTTGGATTATGATAAAGTAGTTTTTCCAAAGCTAGCTGAAAAAAATGACATACTCTATTTTTAATCTCTCATAATAGTTTAAGAATTTGGATATGCAAATTACAAAATTACAATTTTGTTTGCAGCTTGGACATTCATTAAAATTTATTGAATGGCTTTCTTACCCTAATAGAAAAGTGTTTTCTTTCCATAAAAATTAAGAAGGCTTCCATATATAAAATTTTAACCCCAGGATGCAGCTTTTAAAAAAGACCATGTCACCTTCTCATAACAAGTGGATTTTTTACTTCTGGCTCCTGTTTTAGTCTATAGTTGAACATAGAAACATACAGGAAGATAAAAATCTTTTAATCTTAAAATTTGATGTTATGATAACAGGTAATACTAAGTAATAGAACATTTCTAGCTGTGGTATTTTGTAGTTGTAATAAGTTCTGATTTCTGTTTTTTCCTAATTTCAGGGTTAGTCAGCAAAATAAAATCAACCTAATGACAGCAGATAACTTATCCATCTGTTTTTGGCCAACTTTGATGAGACCTGATTTTGAAAATCGAGAGTTTCTGTCTACCACTAAGATCCATCAATCTGTCGTTGAAACATTCATTCAACAGTGTCAGTTTTTCTTTTACAATGGAGAAATTGTAGAAACTGCAAACACTGTGGCTCCTCCTCCACCTTCAAACCCCGGACAGTTGGTAGAATCAATGGTACCGCTTCAGTTACCACCACCATTGCAACCTCAACTGATACAACCACAATTACAGACGGATCCTCTTGGTATCATATAAGTGATTGCCCACAGCCTAAAATTGGACAAAAAAGTAAACCTAGATGTGCATGTTTCAGGGTTCCGTAGTATACTTCATGTTTCATAAAGATAATTCATATTCAAATGAGACACTTTCTCTTTGAACTATATAGTATTCCTTATTCACTTACATTACAAATCTAAGAACATGTGGTAAGCATGACTGGAGAGGTTTAATTTTTATAAACAAAAATAGCTATAAAATGCAAAGCTGCTGCTGCATGCAACCTTATTGCAATCAGTATATCATTCCTGTGGCAATTTCTGTCACATTATATTGTGAATAAAATTTTTCTATAGAAATTAAATGATTTAAAAACTCATATGAAACAATGCTTCTCAGCCTGCTTTATGGCTGGTTTTGTTATTTGATGTGCTAATTTGGGTAACTTAATTTACATTCTAGTCTGTGTTGATAACTAAAAGCCCACTTAAGTACATGATGTGATTGAAAAAGATGGTTGATAATATGGTTAATGTTTGAAATTTTTAAAGAATTTATTACAGTAAATGACACATTGCCATAAATTCCCCTCATAATATTTCCCTCCACTTCAAACACATCCCATCATTCTTGCCATTTTCTGAAGCAGTCTGAAAGTTTTTTCATGAATGTGTTTAGTTGGACTGTTGTAACTGCTCTAATGTCCTGAATTGATTCAAAAAATTTGCCATCCATGGTCATTTTGGCTTTGGGAAAAAGTCAGAAGTCATACCAGCTGGTGAATAAGAGTGGATAAAGACACACAGTAATGTTTTTAAGTGAGCCTGCTTTTCATGGAATGGCATTCCATTCATTCACTGTGTATCTGATCATACTTCTTAAGAGAGAGAACTTCAGAAAGTGACAACAGCAATAGGATAAATGTGTTCAAAGCAAGGGGAAGTATTTTGAAAGGGATTAACAATGGCAAATGCATCTTTCACTGTAAAGAAATTTTATTTTAAACTTAAACATTCACTGTATATTTTGATCACACCTCGTATTTTGTAATTTCAGACTACTTATGCCATGCTTGGGATTTTGTTTGAAAGAAAAAAATACACTTATTTTACATTTCTGCACCTTCATCTTCACTTCTAAATAAATCTGTGAATGATTTGATAAAGAATAAATAAACCTATTTCTTTTCTACACATACCCAGGGACATGCTTGTGGCTAAAGTGAGTTGATAATGTGCGAAGGATAGTTGTCAACAACTCATTTCCTTATGGTCCATATTGAAATATTTTGTATACGATTAATTCTGTAAACAGATGCATGTTCAAAAGATCTATGATGGTCTTGTAATCTTAATCTAATATATTTTAGATATCTTAATTTTTTTCCCTCTTGGGGAATACATTTAGTATAGTGTAGAAAAGTACTACATGACATTTTCATATAAGGTTATATAACTTTTCATACATAAACATGAAATTTGTTGTAGAAAATTCTTTAAACCAAACATTTTAATCTAGGACTTCAGTTTAATCTGTTCCTTGAATCTATTTTTATGTGGCCCTTAAAAACATATCCAAAAAATCCATTGCTAATATAGCAATAAAAATACTTTGGGTACTGACAGACTCCTTGGAGTATGTATATATAAAATTATAAACTTGTATTCATATTCATATTCTTTTCTGTGATGTACTAAAATCCCAAATGGCTTTTGCACCATTTTTAAACCTATTTTTTCCTTTGATGTTGGTATCAGAGTTGCTACAAATGACTGCTGCTTTTGGGGTTAAATATTTTGTTACTGAAGTTACAACCAGAACACTAGATTATGGCTAAAATTTTCAGAATAAGTGGCACAGGTAAATTTTGTTAGGCTTTATTCAAAATTCTCTCATCAAATTATGCCATTTTTTTTCCAGGAAGAAAAATGGTTTGCTTTCCGTTGGTAGGTCATATAATTTGTATAGTGAAGAAATTCTTTCATCAATGTTGTAATCTTCATTCGTTCTGCAGTTTTAAATTTATCATATATGTATTATAGTAAATAGATGGTTTTGAGATTCAAGGCTTCTAAGAGTTTGATTTGCTCCATTTTTCCCTTTAATTCTTTCCTACTATTATGTCCTAGGTATTGTACTTCCAATTTTAACTTCAGAATCAAGATGTCAACATGAACCAGGCTGCTGTTGAAGTACATGTATATTATAAATTATCTTATTTGTGTTATACTGTTTCATGTTATTATCTTTTCTAAGAAAACAAAGTCCCTATTATTCCTATTGCAAAGCACACAGGAATTAAGAAAGTACAGTAATTTTTAAAAAAATTATCCGGTAAATGTAGTATTCTTAACTTGTTCTATATTACTTATACCTGTTGTCTATAGAGCTTTAATTTATAGCTGTCAGTTTAACATTGGCATGTCTGGCAAAGAAAATTAAACTTTAAGAGTTTTATAAACTGTTTCTAGGTTGCTAAAGAATTTATTTTTCTACTATATATGGTATAGACAAAGCATCAAAACTATGTACAGGGAAAAGCCTGACTATTTCTATTGGAAGTAGGCTGAAAAGAGAATTTTCGGAACTGTTCGTGTCTTTGGTTCATTCTGTCATAACTTTGCTATTGTGATATGTGAATCCTGGTTTATTTAAGCTATTCATTTTTATACTGTGTTAATTTAACGTTCATCTACATTTAGTGCCATTTTTGTTATTGAAATTAGCATTTACCATTTTCCACATTAATTACCCTTACACCTTTCCCAAAACTTACCTCCACTTTTCTATGCATTCTATCATTGATTTGACACACTTCATAGTGAGTCATTTAAATATTCTACATTTGGTTCAATCAACCAGTAGATTACAGTTTTTGAAAATTAAAGTAGTTTAAAGCTCAGTCTGTTACACTGAATTGATTGTGCTTGTTTTTGCCAAGAGTTTAAATGTGTTATTAAATATTAGAAAAACAATTCTAAGAAGAACACAATAACAGTTAAAATTTTTTGTGGTAAGTTACTGAAAGTTTTCACTGTTTAGGGACATACATGAGCCTTCTTAAAGGATTTAAAAGAATAGTAGATTGTCTTATAATTGTGGGTAAACATTAAGGCATTATATTTTACAATATAAATAAAATTCCATCTATACACATTGCCATATTTCACTTAAAGTCCAGTGCTTAGAGTTATTACAGTATTGGACTTACCAGTATCTAGATTAGCAATATAAAGAAGCATAGTGGTATTCTATTTCAGACTTTCAATAGATTTTTTTTAGAAATCAGATTGTATTCAACAAATACTTACTAGGTAATACACAAATAATTTCAGAACAAAATTCCAGACACAATATATCTCTCGTTGAAGTGGTATTTTGAGTAGCCTTTTCCCCCTTAACATTTACAGTGTAAATACTGTAGGTAACAGCAATCTTAACTTAGCCAAAAAGCAGCTTTTATTTTCCATTCTATATGTAAATAATATAGATCGCTGTTTTCTTTTTTTTTCTTTTTTGGATTTTGTTTTGTTTGTTTTTGAGGTACTGGAATCTAATTTCTAATATCTTAAAAGGGAATAATTGGAATAAAAACTTAGGCCTTAGCTTCCATGGTGATTTTTAGTTTTTTATACAGTAATAATTGTGATGCTATTTGTCAACTGGATATAAATATATATATATAATTCTAAAAAGTCAAAAGTGGTTTGTTTCTTTGTTTATAATTAATGTAATTTTGTGCTTCACCCAAAGGATGCTGCAGTAAATTAAGTATCAGTGAAGCTTCTGATGTACAAAGAGTGCTATGAATAAAACATGAAGAAGCTGTGTAATTTTAAGTTATAGTTGCCTCTATTCTTACCATTTTGTTGGTAAAAGCTAATTTTTTTCAAGTAAAATATGAAAAATAAATTTATGTCAGTATGATGAAAATTCTATTAGGGAGATGTACTGAGCTTTCCCTGTACCATGAAAGGAGATCCAAAATTCACTCTGTATATAGATGAAAATTGGATTTTTAAAATAGGAAAATGAGATAATGCACAGATTTCTAAAATTCAGATGCTATCTGAATCTGAATTGAACTGTGCCTCTAGACATTCTTGGGTTACTAGGAAATGCTCTGAAGCCTATTCTAGTTATAGCAGAGATGTTAACCTCAAAGAATATATATTTGTTTTCTCTTTATGGTTTGGAAATACTAAGCCAAACTTTATGGGTGTATGCGTTCAGGTTCTTTGGATCTGATGAGGTCTGTTTAACTCGAATCTTTATCCTAAATTTAATTATTTTAAGTACTTAGTAGGCTGATCAATTTGTTTTGTTTTGGTATGTATGGGACATAATACTTTTATTATCTGTTTAAGTTTTTATTGTATTTAAAATCTTGAAATTCTGAACCTTTTCAGGATATCAAATATCTGAAAATAAAATTTTCTAAGATTTGATAAGGAAAGGGACTACTCTTCAAAATCATTTTCTTATGGTAGCATCCATGTATACTTAAAAAGACAGCATGAGCATCAATACCACCTCATTCCAACATCCAGTCATTTAATATGATCCAGATAGCATAGTCTTTATGAAGCTGAACTCTACCAACTAAAGAACTTTTAGAATCTTCGCTACTCATGATCATCCTGTTTTTGCGAGAGCAGAGCTATAGAATCTTACTGCTTATGTGTTAACTAAATTGTGTAATGTTAGTCTTCTGTGGAAAGTTTACAGGCAGTAGGAATGATTTTGAAAAAACAGTCAATGTTAGTAAACATAAAAATATAATCCTTGAAATTAATACAGTGCTGGCAATTCTGGTTTAGTTTTATTTACCAGTAGTTAGTGTTAACTGCAGAATATACTTTGTTATGTAGTTGTCAAAGAATTTGTAGTTGAGAGTTTAATACTTATTTATTCCCACAGTGCAGACTTTCTGTTCAGTTTTATTTTCCTCAAAGGGTAAAAGTTATTGTGACAATTTAATAGTGATCCTACTAGTAGTTTGCTTGATATTTAGTTTAAAATTTCTAGTGTTTAACCTATATTTTCAAATTTATTTCTGTACTATTTCAGTGTGTGATGTGGATTTAGCAGTTGACCTTTTATTTATTGCTTTACTAATGCCCCCACTTTACTTTTAATTACATGCCTACATTTTCCTCACCAGATCATTTTTGTGTATCCTTGAACTGTGTCCTATTTAGTATAGTTTACCAGCTTTACGTGTGGATCTTAGTTTCCTTTTTTTCCAGATTCTTGGCATTTTATTTTATCCAAATAAATTTCTCTTCAGGTGTTCAAAGAAGCAGAATTGCAATGTTTAATCCCCTGAAATAATAAGTAAAGTACAGTTATAATGTTTAATTCCCTAAAAGTAAAGCAGATTTATAATATTTAATTCCCTAAAAATAATGAGCAAAATCAGAAACAGTACACACTATAATGCTTTTATTTGTGTAGGACTTAAGATTATTTTTTAAAGTGTAGATGAAATGGTTTGAAAACCACCTGTCTGAGAGAACATAGTCTTTGGGTATCCTCTCAGATTTTTTTTTTTCTTGGAAATTTCATTTCTAGGTTATTTATTGTTGTCAGAAATATGACTACTGAATGTTTTTGGATTGTAGTGTAGTGTTTGAAATAAACTATTACTAGGAATATACTTTTTTTTTTCAGTGCTGAGGATTGAACCTTGGGAGGGGCCTTTGCACTGAGCTACATCCCCACACACACACTTTTTTTTTTTTTTTTTGGAGATAGAGTCTCATTAAGTTGCCTAAGTAGGACTTCAAATTTAATCCTCTTCCCAAAACTAGGGATGTACTTTTAAAATACAAACTAAAAATGTTTCATCTAGTATTTTAAAAAATGACTTAGACTACCTTAAAGTCCATTTAAAGTACTATTTTCATAATATAGATCAGGATTTAGCAAACTCTCTCTGGGAAAAGAAAGACATTAAATTATCTTACACTTTACAGGCCATATGGTCAATCTGACACTACTCAACTCTGCTGCTATAGGGTATAAGTAGCCATAAACAATTCAGAAATAAATGAGCACAACTCTGTTCCAATAAAATTTCGTTTATCCCACAGACTTTATGTGTCTGTGCCCTGGTATAAATTAGTAAAACAAAAAGCTCCAATTTTAATCTGTGTGGAATAATGTATGATAATTCAAAATAAGAGATTGGAATAAAAATTTGCACATTGATTATCCACTATTTCTATCACTTTTTTCTAAAGGAAACCATCTTTTTAGTTGCAAGAAGTAAATAAGGAGAGCTATATGGAATGATATCTTACTACATTATTAAAACTGAATCTAGAAAGGACTGGCACAATTGTTTGCATCACAGTTCAGTTGTTTTCATGGCCTTATTTCTCTTTTAGAGCATGACTTAAATTGCATTTCCACATAGACATGTAACTACAGAGTAAATATTTCAATAAATTGTGACATATTTAACCCTAAAAAGATCAAAGTAATACCTATAATGGGTCTAAAAATATGTGATAGTAATTTAATGTATGGTCTCTCCAATGTGTAGGCCTCAGTCACCAGATAATACTCAAGTTCCTTTGGACAGTTCATATAGGAGAGAAACATACATACCAAATGTTGGGCAGCTTTAATTTAGAAAACATGTTTTACTGTATATAGGAAAATTCATAAGAGAAAAAAATGTAATAAATTCTAAAGTCCTACCTCAATATCTGCAATCAGAGAAATCTTTTGTGTTAAGTATGGGGTGAGGGCAGATTACCACAGGATCATGTCTCACCGTTATTCTCATACTGTTGAGATGTATGACTGAATCACAATGAATCTGTCTGATCACAGAGAATACACATTGAGTCACATGGGAAAGTCTTTACCAAAAGTTAACTTTGCATTAGAATTTCAGGCTGAAGAGTCTCATACTGAATGTGAAATGGCTATTAATCATGAGTCAAACTTGGTTATTATTGCCGACCTGCAAGATAGTATTCAGTGATTCCAGTGGTATTCACATGCTTGCATGTCTCCTAACTTCATTGTACCTATTGGTCTGTGTGACTACAAGCATTTTATGTGAACGATTCAGATTTTTTAGAAGCCAGTTTTCATCACATGAATATTTTTTTAAGCACAGTTCCCAAACACCTATGCCCTTTTCATTACTACCGTTCTCTAGAAAGCCAAGTTCTCATGTAGTTACAATATGAATCATGTAAAGCAGCAGAAAAGTATTTCCACTTATAAGATGGTCTGACCTAATATCCCAACTGTGAAAACATCTTTTAAAAATAGACAAAATTATTTGGGGGGTGGGTGCATTTTCACAAGCCTGTAATCCCAATTTTATGTGGAGGCTAAGGCCTCCAAGAGAATCAATTTGTAGATCAGTCTGAGCAAATTAGCAAAACCCTGTCAAAAAAATGGGTTGGGGGAGCGGGGGTTTAGCTCAGTGGTTCCGCCACCTGCCTCGCAAGTGCAAGGTCCCGAGTTTGATCCCCAGTACCCCCAAAAAAGCTCAGGTGAAGGTTCTGGGTTCAGTCCCCAATCTCCGCCACCAACCCCAAGTGGCAGGACAAGATGGTGCGTGCATGTAATCCCAGCTACTTGAGAGAGGAATAGGATTGCAAGTTCAAGGCCAACCTGAGCCATTTAGTGCCTATCTCAAATGTTTTTTTAAAAATCTTAGTGGTAGAGAATAGTTTCTCTAGTGTAAGAAATTGGAAGTGTCAAGAATCAAAATGTATAATAATGTGAAATAGGAAGAAAAGATCTGAAAGGAAAGGAAAAAATATGAGAAAAGGAAAAAATGGAAACAGTCTTAATTGGGAGGGGTTGAAGGGAGGGCAAGGGAATGGGGAAAAAATAACCAAGATATATCATGTAAAGGTACAAACTCCCAATGATGAATGTCATATTGTACACCTAAAATGTACCAATAAACTTTAAAAAAATCTTAGTGGTAGAACACTTGCATAGCTACCATGCCCAAGGCTAAAGGTTCAGTCCTCTGCACCATCAAAAAAGGAAGTCAATTTGAAGGCCTTCAGAAAGCTATCAAGATAGTACAGAACTACAATTTGGGAAGAAAAGAACCTCAGGTAAACTAGACTGGAACACTTTCTCGGATTTTTTTGAGGAGTGGGGGATTCTGGAGGAGACATCCAAAAGGATGACTTTCTGATGGCATGCTGTGGGTAGACAGGATTTGGGAGTTCAAGGCCTTCCAAATATTTGTATAGTTTTTAAAAGTAGGTATCTACTACAAAATAAGACGTGAACACAAAACTAGAATTAAAACAGATTTTTTTAATGTGCATATAGAGTCCAAGGAAATAAAAGTTGAGAGAGTTCGGCAGGTACAGTTACTGGAAAATATAGAAAAGTACCAAATGAAGAGCCAAAAATGTGTTAACTGATACTGAAAATTCAGTGTACTCCAAAAGAAAAGGGACAAACCAGAATGGAAAAAAAGAATTTGCAAACTATATATCTGACAAGGGATTAATATCCAGAATATATGGAGAACTAAAGATAAAAAAAAGTTAAATGTTTAATAGACCTAAGTAGACATTTTGCAAAGAAGGAGGGGGCGGTTTACAAATGGCCATTAGATATATGAAAAATGTTTGATATCACTAATCAGAAATGCAAATCAAAATCACATTGAAATTTAACCTATACTAAGAATGGCATACAGGTGATAGGATGTGGAGAGAAGAACACTTGCACACTTTTGGTGAGAATGTAAATTGATATAGCCATTGTAGAAAATAGGTTCCTCAGAAAATTAAACAATAGAACTGCCATATGGTCCAGTCATCACCACTCCTGGATATCT